TCCGTCTGTTTGGTGGATTGCATTCATTGGAACGGCAGACAAGTTTGGGTATGCATGCCACTCCGACAGCGTCAAAGAACAAATCCATGGACCCAACCTCACCACAATCAGGGCATGCAGTTCCATCCTTTATCAAACGGGCGAGGTGTGCGGTTTCAACAATATTGCGAGTTGGCTTTGCTTCGAGTGGTGATCCAGCTTCCAGTTCGTTATCTTTGTCATCGTCATCTGCACGATGTACACTGATTGTTGTTTCTAACTGAACAGTTGGGACAGTTGAAGGTGCACCCTCATTCATCCGTGACATATTCCAGGCAACTGCATTCCTCTTCTCACCAGATACCTTCTTATCCCATCTATTCAAGCCAACACCAATCCTTTGGGCCTCAAACTTTGCTTTCTCTTTCTTTGTTGGGTCCAAACTTTCAATAATTTCCTCAAAACTGTGGGGAGTCCCCTTACTACGCATGCTCCTGCCGCCCTTGAAGGGGGTGACAAGAGGAACCTCATGCCGCCCTTCCTCTTGAGACTGCTTCTCCTCCTCCGCACTCATTCCAACAATACACCATTCTGCTACATCTTTCACTACACATTGATTACAACCAAGTTGACAGTGCTTCATCTAGTACGATAGCTAGCCACACGTGTTCCGTGTTTTCCTCTTCGATTGGATCCAAATTGACCACGTTATACATTGAAGCTCGGCCAACTTGCAAAATCTGATTGGACTAGACTAGGTGTTGATTAGATTGGCCGGCAACATTCGTTATGGAATTTTGATGTGTATTGACTGTTAGAATTCCCTATTCCACATAATGTGGGTTCGAGCTTCGAGCTCCGAAAAATACCTAGAAGTCGACTTGGATGAGGTGCATCGTCTGTCCCTCCATCGGGTATCCGGTGGACCTCCTTAAATTCTTGTGTCTCGAATCTGATCCTTGCGTTGCTTGTTGCATGCGGCAGTATGCAGTTATTGCCATGATCTGCCGTGCGGATCTTCATGGTCGTAGCGGTATCCATCGTAAATGCCAGCATTTCTAAAAACACACCCCCTCACTTATCGGGACCGTTGGCCCCAGGTTTAACCGAGCGAAGCGATGGTTAAACCGTGGGGGCAGGTCCCATAAGTGAGGTGGTGTGTTTTAGAGGCAATACACAATACACCGTAGCCCATTTCAACGATAATTAAGGAGGTGATTCAATGCAATTACAGGTTAGAAAATCTATTTAAGCAGGTTAAAAATACTGTTTAAGCAGGTGTTCTCTGTGACAAACGGCCAGCATTGAGAAAAGTAAAAAAGAACTAAAATTGTGAAAATCCCAATAACCCAAGAACATCTGGCAACACCAACCAGCAACACAAACGATACCAACAAACAGGAGGACCAAATGTTTGAGCGACAATGACCACACAGACAACAACTAGCCCTCGCGGCGTTTGAGCGGCCACACAGACAACAGCAGCCCTCGCGGCGTTTGAGCGACAACCACACCCACAACAGCAAAAGCCCTCTCGGCGAGCGACAAAAACCACAACAAGCTCTCGCGGCGAGCGACAACCATGACCACAACAACAAGCCCTTGTGCCGAGCGACACGCCCAGCAGTAGTTTGCAGTACGATAGTAGCGGATCATCCACCGCAACCACACCATAACAACAAACAGAATGAATCTACTCTTCGTACTGCAGAACTGTTGAAAGAGTTTGTTGAAATTTTGGAGGAAAACATAAAATAGTGAAAATTCGATTTTGCACTCCTTTCGTTTACTTAACGGTCAAGTCCCGGTGAAAATTACTTAGAAATGGCCAGGTGTGTTGCCCAGCCCAAACACTAAACTTCTAAACTTCAGAATTCGATCGAAGAACTGCGCCTGGCCGTTGCCAAAATTGCTTCCACAACGGCCGGATGTCAGAAGGTCCGCCACGAGGGATGAAGGCCGACACTCGAGGCAAAGAGACGAGAGGGTATTGCAATTAGGCTGTGGATCTTAGTGCTTGCTAGCTATTATAGGAGGATTAAAATGGCGACTACCGAGACATTGAGAGAGTTCAGAAGGTTGGCTAAAGTCAGTGAAAGTCAATCCTTGGTGGAAGATCTTATTGTACTGACTGGCGGCCTGCCTGTGTTGGCTGTTCCAGTGGCTCTTCTTGCGGCACTTTTATACCTTTCCTACATCAATCAAAGCTCAAAATCTCAAGACTTGAAGAAAAATAATAGTGGAGAATCAATATATCCCTCGCCTAGAACTGTGATGGCTACCGTTACTGCATTCGCTGTGTGCCATTCCATCAACTATGATTTGTCACGGCTGCCATCTACACTCCTTGGCGGCAGAACTACTATTTTAGACGACAATTATTCTACTTCCACTACCAACACCAAACCCTACTCTGACTTTGCAACATTCTATCATGAAGCCTATGTCGATTTTCATGTTACCGCTGCTTCGCGACTGTCGCATTGCTTCCTGGCAACATCGGTTGCAATGATATGGATATCCGATACTCGACTGGGCGTAGCATCCATTATCGCACTGTTGACGGGAGCACTGGCAACCATTCCCCTATTGGCGTGCCCGATACCCTTTGTTGAAATGGCACTCGTCGTGACGACGGGTATTGCTGTGACCCAAATTCTTTGCAGCAATCCTCACAATGGAACCATGACATTGCGGTGGTTTGCCTTCTTTGTCACATGGGCTCTGTTGGATTATTTGGATCATTATCTATCGGGTCGAAATGGGTCCGCTGCCATGTATGTGGGACAGCATTACATCTCTTGGGCGTTGATTGGGCAACTCCAGCTGGCGTTTCACATGGTGTCCTCGGGGGTGACGCACCGATGGCAATAGTCAACGGTGGATATTGCAACTGTTTCAGTTCTGGTATCTGGTAGTAGTATTCAGGGATGCATCATTCATGTATAACTAGAATGTATGTACGGTATGTAGAACATGTAGTTTAGGTTAGTGGGCTGAATGATATGTAGATACAAGTATGAAGGTGGAAGACTTTAAAAGGAATGGAAGAAGGAAAGAAACAGTTAAAGAAACCCCGGCAGAGCATAGTGTTGTGGCCCTTGATGGGGACTTTGGTTCAACATGTTTCGCCCGCCACGAGGCACGAGGCTCTCCAAGTTCCTCTCGTACAGTTCTCCATAGTTGCCAACCGCAAGAACGGAGTCTCTGAACATTCGATTGAACTGGTCTCCAAATGAGAAAACCTCGGGCATGAGATTGGACGTGGCTTTATCAATTCCATTCTCCTCGGCATGAACAACTCCCATCACGGTCCAAAAGACAAACTCTCTCCAATCATGTGCATCTAGTCTGCTGGCAAGACAAGTGTTGTCCTCATCTTCACTGTAGCCAAAGAAATAGGGGGTGGAAAAGGCAAACCCTGTCCCAGTTGTAGGTTCACGAACAGTGGTCTGCAAGCTCTTGGTGGCTCCAGCGAACACGTCAACTTTCCCGTTGGCTAGAAGCACATAGCCATCTTCTGGGGTCTCAACATGGACAAACTCAACCATGTCGGTACTGCCTTGGAACAAACCGGCAGACAAGGCACGGCAAAGATCCGCATCCATCCCTTCATAGTATGGTTGGTTGGCCTCGTTTTCAACCACGACAGCAAACCCAGGTCGGAGACGGATAGCGCAGCGCACAAAGCCTCTTTTGATTATTTCGAGCATGGCATCATCTAGTGGGAAATCCGAGTCTCTTTTCTGCGAGATCCCGCCAAACGGATATGAGAACAGCAATGGAGTTGCTCCAATATTCACCAACTCCAGTGGAGGCTTGGGGAATCCTGAGGCGCTGAGATGCCTATGGTGGATTTCACCGTGGTTGCCCGCAGCCGCTAGAGCATGCTGGAACATCCTTTGATATTCCTTACCAAAGACGTCTGTTAAAGGGAAGCTTTCTGCTGTGGATTGTGTGATATTGTATCGTTCCGCGACCTTGAGAGCGTCGACGATTGCCCCGACGAAAGCTGTGAACTCAGTGTCGTCTTGCCGTGTGACATGGGACAAGGGCTTTAGTGTCAAAACCAAAACATGTTAGGATCCGAGGGCTGTAGGAAAGAAATAATGCACGTTGTGTCTTCTCGGCACCTACCTGTGGAGCAAAGACTTGTTCACTGGCCCTGTAGGGACCATCGAATCCTAAACCTCTGATTGCCTCGATGCTAGGAATGGTGACAAGAGAGGAGTATACGACATTACACAAACCCTCTGCAAACGCACCACCTAGGTACAGCCCGTCCACTTCAACAATGGCTCTCCTGGGCACAATAGCGGACAAAAAATCGAAGAACGTGGTGCCTCGACTCACACAAATCTTCAGGTCGGCACATTCATTGATGTGCGCGAATCCGTTTTCGGTACATGAAACATGGTGCGGATCTCCGCCGGTTGACGTCCCCATGTGTAGGTGAGGAGATGAAAAAGCGAGACCTTCCTTGCCAGTTGTTTGGAAGACGTCTCGTTCCAAGCTGTGCGTGTAACCCGATGTATACAAGTCGACATGCTCGTCCAAGAGGAGGCCAAAGAGAGGTGCTTTGGGGTCATTGCTTTCTCGGAACTCTGTCGTTGCGTTGGGACCCAAGATGCCAGCAGCAACCGCAAGACACTGTCAATGTCGAAACACGGGGGGAAAGTGTGAGTGAGAAGAGAAACCCTCAGGGCTTTTTGAACGAAGCACAAACAGGACTTACCCAGGAATCCTGATACCCCAACATGGTCTCGCTCGCTCCATCAAAAGTTCTCCTTTCACATCGAAGGACTCCTTCTTTCCTGATTCTCTCCAAAGTCGATACGGCGGCTGTGGAGCTGACGTTTTCGCTGTCACTATCAACGATGTTTTCTTTCGGCACCGAAGGATGCTGAGGTTTGGGAGAGTCATCACTGCTATCAAAGACACCCAGCAGCCCCATTATCAAAGCAACAATGATGGCTGCCAGGACTAGGAACGAGCTTGCAACAAGAACCGTCCGTCGCTTGCTCCCATCGTGGTGAACTATAACAGCATCAAACGTTGGCTCTTGTCTGGGGCGCTCCTGTCTTGGGCGCCCCAGCTCGATGTCTCGAATCTGCCCTTGTGTTTGGGTTCGATCAATCACCAAGCTCGCCTCCAAGGGACTATCTTGTGTTGCCTGCTCTATGTTTGGTTGCCTCCGAGGCCTGTCGCTGGTAACCTGGATGCTGGCGTCATCGTTTGCAGTGGTTGCTCCATTGATTCCTACTATGGAATAGGCACCGGGCCCCTGTTGTTGCCGCCTTGGCCGTGCGGCTGGTAGGGGAGCCACTTCGCCGCCGAGCTGGAGAATGGCTTGGTCACCATCTGTTGGCGTTCCAGATCCGTCGTCGCTTGTCTTGTCGCTTGTTTCGTCGCTTGTCTCGTCGCTTGTCTTCATGCTCGACGATAGATTGACTTTCTTTTCAAGTTTCTCAATGTCATCATCGAGCTTCTCCAGTTTCTCGAGAACCAAAACTTCATTATCGCTTGTCTTCTTGCTCGACGCTAGATTGACTTTCTTCTCAATTTTCGCAATGTCATTATCGATTTTCTCCAGTTCCTCGAGACCCAAAACTTCCTTTCCGCAGTTTTCATTGCATGCATCGTCTACCTTGGTCACGCTGCAATCAGCGGTGGGTTCAACGATGTCATCAGATGCCGGTGTGACGATTCCAAGGAGCTCGTCCGGTAGGGGTCTTTGCTGGTTCTTTTTACCATTCATCGACATGATTGCTTGGTGCTTGGTACTTGTACAATCTATCTGGTATGCTCTTCGCGTTCTCTTGGCCGTGCTTTAGGGGCTTCTTTCTAAAGGTGTGAGTTAGTTGTGAGCTGTTGTGGGATAATGGCTGCCCTTGGAGCTTGGAGAGGAGAAGCCAAGGAGAATTGCACAGATACAACATCAGGAGGCGGGGAACCTTTTTCTTTCTTGGTTGCAACATCAGCGATATCGTGTGTCGTGTGTACTGTGAAAAACAGCGCTGTTGATACCGGTACCGGTACCAATACTGCCTGTTTCCACTGTCCAGAGAAAAGTGACCTCCAAGCTTTAAGTGCCATGTGCCGTACCGGTACCCGTACCGGTTCGATACTAGTAACAGGATTCGTACAATCGTCTGCTTCGACTGAACTCTGCAACCTCCTTTAAATCCTATAGTGCAGTATAGGAACGACATCGTGTCTGTGCACTTTCCCTTCCCTTTCCAACGAAGGCAAAATTTAGCTTTGCAAGCTCAAGATCGATTTGGATCATCCAAACCCCGCCTGTCGCTTTTCCAATCCAAAAGCTGCTGATGAGAATCGATGAGATAGCGAGATCTGCTGCTGTTATACCAGTACTGCTGTTGCTGATGACAGGCTTTGGTTCCCAGGGTGGTTCCCAGCTTGCTATATTATGTGATCAATTGGGATCTGACGCGTTGAGTCAAGTCTGAGCTATCTCATCAGTAATGAGAGTGTTGTAATTGTTACCAGCTCTCCTCCACTCCTCCAAAAACAGCGATAGTAACAGCAACGGCGGCGACAGACGACCCAGATTTGCACGAGTTGCCAAACGAGTTGCGTTTGTTACGAGGCAAAACGTTTGAATTCGAAGACGAGCTTCACTCCCTATTGGTAAGCGGGATTTGGGGATACAGGTGTTATTTTGGATCCAAGATCAAACGAGGCTCGACTCGACTGGACTCCGTTTGACGAGCGGAAAACACGATGAGGTCACCGGGGTCTACACGAACGCTTTCAACGAAGACTGGCGCGGCATTGCAGCATGGCACTTGCAACATTTTCATCCAGCGTTTACCTGGCCGCGCCATCACGAGACGCAAGCCTGATATAGCTTTCTGGGGACCAATGAAATGCGAGACCAAGGTCCGAGCTGGTCGTGCCAGGACGACTGTAAAGCACCTGGAAGTGCCACCGAAAATTCATTCAGTGAAGCGAGAGCAAATTGAAAAGGTCAACCCTGATGTGGTTCTTCTGTTTAGCTGGGAAAACGGAGAAAAGGTTATGAAGTGAAGGCGATCGATGAAATGATGAATAGAGCTCTTGTGACTTATCCACACAATCAACCGAACAACGAGGCTCCAACTTTAGGATTTCTTGTCAGAATTCGCACAGCCAATAAGCGAAACGCTATCGGACAGAAAACCATTGATGTGTATCGGCTACCTAATGGCACGACATTTGAGGATGCCAAGTCAAGCCAGAACGGAGCTAGTCATCAGCACTTTGTCCCAGGACAGCCGGCTGTCGTTGTCGAGATTACTCCGCAGGACCTCAGAATTACTTCCACTGCTACTACATGTATTACTCCTCCACCCCAGCCATTCCGGATTTCTGCAGCTGAAATATACGAAATGTTGCAAGTCTTACATTGACATGGTGATACTAGCAGTCAAAATGGGGGGTTTCCCTCAACCCTCAATTGTTCTACAGGTAGCTACCATATCAAGGTTCGCTTCAATATAGCATTTTCTCGGGTACATGCCAAGGCTAAGGGAAACCAAGAAGCTTTGGATGCTTATTGATTGTGGCTACCAATCAGACGTAGGTGGGATCATTGTTGCTGTTTGGTTTTCTGTTGGATTGTCATCTTTTCCCCCAACAGCCGTTGCAGCATCCATGACGGCTTTCAACGAGAAATTATTCCATCGCAACTGCACCATCAATAACTTGAATTTTGCCCGAATTCGTTGCATGTGACCTTCCAAATCGGTACTAGATTTTCCATCCTTGCCACTCAGAAGTGCTTCCTCGTCGTCATTATCATCACTGGCAGAATTGAGCTGACCGACGATACCGGTACCTTGGAAGCTCTCTTGAGGAGAGGGAAAAGCATCGAGCAATGTTGTCAATGATTGGAGCGTGTTTTGAATGCGCTCGACTTTAGCGGCATCTCCAAATCGGTTGTTGGAGTTATCGGCATTATTATTATCCAAGGCCAATAACGCATCGGATAATTCCTTGACCACCCCTTTGACAAACCCTACCTCCATTCCATATTCGACCCCCTTGACGATCCCCACAGTTTTTCCGTCGTTGAACCCCGAAACAAGACCGGCTTGTCGGCCCTCTTGACGACCTGTTTCAAGGGCCACCTGTTGTGGATTCACACATAGGTCATCCCAGGCGTCTGCTTGGTCGGAATCCTTCGTATTACTATTGTTGTTGTCAGTAGAAGACATGTTCCCACTGTGGATATCAGTTGTTGGTTAGCTAGCTACTGCAGTAGTAGCAGATGGTGCGAACGCTCTGCCTCGTCATCACACACTCATCATCGCAAAGGCGGGGTTGACAATCATTCGGAAGAACGTCATGGCGTCATGATAATTCCCAAAAACGAGACGCTTTCCTCTTTCCACTGGTAACAGGCTAGCTCGGGCCAATGTTGGCAATGCCGCCAGTTTGAGGAAGGAGTCACGAGTCTTTGTTTTCACGCACAGAAACCAGTCATCTGAAGGGCTCTTTTGCTTTGTGATCCACGCTTTGCAAAATATACGACTGATATTTACCAGGGTTCCCTTCGATAACTGTGTGAAGCATGTGAGACATAAGCGCCAAATAATCAAAAGAGATGGTTTGTTCCCGAGTGCTACATTGTTTTGCTTTACTGTCAAACAAGAGAGTAGTGATGTAGTCACTAATGCTTACTTCAGCCCCCCTAAAAGTACTCAAAGGAGACGGTGAGACTTATTAAAGCCCGAGAAAAGGTCACTTTCGGCTGGCTGCGTCTCACAATTTTGTGGTTTCACAGGTCGCGACTTGCCAGAACGGCCAATTCGAACACAGCAATAAGCAGCAAACACACCAATAACTTGGCCACTCGTTCCGACTGGGCTAAAAATTGCGTCGCATCGTGCATTCGATACATTCATTTGGTCGGTATACAGATACACAGCACCCCCACTGGGAAACTGAACCAACGCACAATCTTGTGATTGAGTTTGTCGACAGCATCACATCTCTTTTGGTAAAAGAATGACAATGATGCGGTTAGTAGCCTTTTGCGCACTGCTGCTGTTGAGCAGTCCACACTGTTCTGCCAACAACAGTCTGGCAGATTACATGCGGGCAACTCCCAAGCCCACATCCGCTGCTCCAGAAGAAACTGCGGCACCCAGTACATCCCCCACAACAGTGGCACCCACAGAGTCGCCTTCAGTGGCTCCCACATCCGAGGCACCCACAGAATTGCCCACAGTTGCTCCCTCCACTGTAGCACCCACAGAAGCAGAAGGAAAAGATGCGGATCTCGATTTGACCTTGAATGGAGTGCCACAACAAGAACCCGCACCCACTATGGAACAAACACAGGAAGAAAAGCCAATCGACGACCAACAACTGCAAGACATTCCAACGGCAGCTCCTTCCTATGTTCCTGCCCCTGATGCCACCACTGCTACCTCACTGCCTCCGCCTCCACCCACCGTAACTCAAGCCGAGAGTCTCTATGACGATACCCTGGACTTTGATAACAGCTTTGGGGAAGTCTTTGTCGACTTTTCGCTCTTTTCTCCCAATGTCACCAACCGTCAAATGAACTTTATGAAACTCAAAATGAGCATTACCAGCAGCATTGACGTTCTTATTTGCGATGAAACCAGTCCCATTGCCAATCACGACGGTGGAGACTACTGCGCCGTACGAGATACTGTCCTCGCCAAGGCTGCCACCACTGCCTCGCGTCGTGATCCACAATTGTTTGCACAAATCCCCAAGACGACCGTATTGGCACTTTCCACCACCAACGTCCGCGATGCAACCGCCGTCACGTACTCGGGAAAGCTCTTTTCGTGGACCACTTGGAAATTGGGTTGGGATATTGTTCAGATCGGAGAAACGTTGCGAGAACACGTTACCGAACGATATGGCAGTGACTTGACCGAAGAAGAGCAAGATGAAAAGGCACACTCTATATTGCAGCACATGATGTCCACCGAGTTTGAAGGCATCTTGCGAGATGGAGTCTTTGAACATGATCTGAATTTGTTCATGAACCCCATCGTTGTCATGACCAGTGTTGTGGGAGAGGAAGTGGCTACTTTTGGAATGGCGGCACATCACTCCACGACTACTTCCGCCAAGGGGGAAGAGCTGGCCGGGGAGGACGAGGAAGGAACCGATCTCATGATCATCTTCTTCTTTGCCGGACTTGGAGCGGCATGTTTTGTCATTGTGATCCTACTCTACTTCTCCTTCCGATCGAGAGATTCTCAAGTGTCACGAAAACGCACCATTATCATTGTCGACGACACCAGCAAGAGTTGTACCGACTCGCAAGGAGACTCGACTCAAGAGAACAGCAACAAGGTCATGGTCTTCGATGCCGATCACTTAAGACAAGATCCACCCCGCCAACAGGACGAAGAATGGGGTGAAGCCGACGTGGATGTCGACGATGTTGACTACGAAGAACCTCTCAACGATAACGAAGAAGAAGAGGAGGAGGAAGAACAAGATAACCAGACCGCTCGTTCCATGGCACACTCCACGGCATACACGGGCTCCATCTCCGCAATAACCGGTGTCTCGGGCCTCGAAGGCTCCGATACATGGTCCGTCGGGAGTATGAGCATTGACTTGGCCGAGTGGGGATAAACAATTATGCCTCCTATTCCTACATGCCTGATGGTGCTTGGCTACTATTATCTGTCTTATTTTGATTCCTCTCCTCCCGTACTGACCGTACCGTACCGAGCATCACAGGGTCCATTCTTAGTTTTTCCGCAGACTTGCATTTCCTTGGCGCTCAACTAAATACATAATAAACTTCATACTCTACACTGTAACTTTCTCGCATGTCAATATTATCTAGCTAGCTAGTCTGTCTACCTTTCGTTTACTAGCTAGTAGCTTTTTCAGCCGCACGATCGATGCATTTGACTGGTTGCTGCTGTGTACCGCTCGGAGCACCTCCTCATCAGCCAACCAGTACTCGTAACTACCGTATGATCATCACTCCACCCACGAGCTAGCCATTCTGGGTGAAGTATTTGCCTTGTGACAGTGCGTTGCTTGTGGGTTGCAGCGCCATGCACGATCGATAGTTTACCATCGTGCTGGTGGGTTGACTGCTGTGTACCGTACCGTACTGTTGTAAAGGCCGACCCTATCCGCAGACGGTACACGTTACACGGTATTCTCATTTACACGCCTGCCTCTCTATTCAACGGTCAAGAAGGCTTCTTCAACCTTGAAGAAGGATTCTAGCCAATCAAATCAGTCGAGAGGATACCGTGTTCCGAAAACACGAACGAAATGTGAGGCAACATTCCGTTGAGCCATTCGGCACACGGTATGTGTACTATACGAAAATCAGTACAAGGATTGGATCTCACAGGAACCAGACTTTATATATTATTCATGATGAATACAATTATCCATTCGCCTAAGTACAGCAGGCAGGCTCGAATCGATCTACAAAATCATACCGTGTAACGTGTACCGTGTACGACTAGGGTCGGCCTAAGGTAGTGTGAGATTATAGCCCTTGCAGCCCAGAGCCCACACTGGTACGTAGCTCCTGGTACCACCACCCCGTACAAGTAGCCAATTACCAGCAGTACTGATACTCGTACAGTGCCATTCTAACGTTCTGTCGTGCCGAAAGCCTCGACAATGTTGTTCCCGCAGCATCACCTCAGCCCCGTGCCTCGCCTGTTAATGTTCACACACACCGACAACTCGGGACTCCCCCAGCAACTTTCAGAAGGTCTTATGTCTTATGACAGCTACACGTGAATGAAGTATTAAGCCTACACTTCTAATCCGTGATTTGAAGGGTGCTTCGGAGAATTGTCCTGAATAAGGACATCGACTTAAATCCGTAAATGCTCTGCTTGCGGGTTCACTAATTATTTGAGCTCTAATGCTTTCAACCGCGAATGCATGCCGTTTTTTACCGCTTGTGATGCACGTCTTGCCGCCGTTTCCTAAATTCGACCGAACGATTTTAGGAGGCAAAATTCGTGACACCCAGCACCGACCCAAACGATACTGGTACCAACCAGCACATTAGTCTCGCCAAGTAGGAACAAGGAAATAAGAACAAGCATATTCATGGCACCAACGATCTAGCCAGCGGCACTTTTAGTCAGATTTCTCATTCACAAGAGAGAATTCCTCAGGGCAAAGAGCAAGCGTTGCAGAAACTCCCTCCAATAGCTGTATCTCTGTTGCATCCTGTAATAATAACAATGACAGCACTGCGAAGTTTGACGAGTTCTCTGCCGTTGGCATGGCTGCTGCTGCTTCTGGCTGCCTGCAGCTGCCGCTCCCACAGCCACGACAGCGCCCAAAGAGATCTCCAGTTGCAGCAAGATAATCAAACAGCCACCGTTACCATGATGGAAGAAGCGCAAGGGATGATTCGCAACTCCCAATTCACAGTCGAGTTCTCAACGTGGCCGCCCAACCTGGACTTTCGCAATCTCCAAGAGCGAGTTCTGATCACGTTGGAGACAATCTTCTGTCAAGAAGGAAAGGAGGAGGAAGAGAACGAACAGGGTGTTTGTTTGCTCAAGAATCACATTGTGGAAATGGGTGACGGCGAGAGGAGCTTACAAGCGGAAGACACAGTGTTGTTCATGGCTGTCAAAGACTTTGAAGAAGACTACGACTATTCGACTTATTCGGACCCCCTTTCCTGGTCTGCTTGGTCCATTTCGTTTCTCGTCGTGCGAATGGGATCTTCTATCATTGAGAAAGTCGTCGAATCCGACATGGTCAACACTACAGAAGTCGAACTATCTGCCGAGAGCATCTATGATGCTGGCATGGACTTCTTGGAAGCTAGCATGACTTTCGAAGTCAATAAAAACATTCTGGAGGGAACCTTTGATCAACTCATGAATCAAAGAACCGCCATGGGAACCCGAGTCGTTACCAGCATTCCAGGAGAGGAACAGGAAACATTCCACCAGTTACAATACCCCTTCATGTCTGAGTCATCTTCCACCAACTCCCCAGCTGGTACAAAGGGCGAAGAGGACGCCAGCAGCGACGAAATGATGTACATTATCATCTTCTTTGCTGGCTTGGGAGCCGGATTGATTGTCATTGTTGTCTTGCTGATAATCACGTGCTCTCGACGCTGTAAAGCAAACGAGGATAGCTCCGAAAACCATGTCAAATCTATGGGAGACAGCACCGACAAGGACATCTCCATTTCACAGTCAGGCTCCGTGGAACGGATAATCGTCTTGGATACATCCAGTGGTTCCATTGATCAGAACGATCCTCTTCGACGTAGCCTCGAAAACCAGGTGATGAGTCAAGCTGAAGAAGAACTTGCCAGTCCTATGGGTCGCCACCGACGTTCCGACTCGGGTTCGATAGCAGATTCGGTTTCAATGATGACAGAATCTGTGGCCAGCCGAGTCGATTGGTCGGTAGCAGGCCAAACAGTGGCGTGGGCCTAAAGACTTCGTCCGATTCGTTTTGTTCGTCTCGGAGAAGACTGACCAACGTTCTCATAACCTGCCTGTCGGGCTCTCATCTTGCACGCTTACATTGAAGCATTACATACATCTTCCTCCCCTTTGTATCAATCTTAGCTAGAATCAACCTTAAGGAATACTTTTGCTCTCTAAAAGTTTCAAGCGGTTGTAGAGGTCTGATTGTTAGGTTTTAGAAGTCCAACTGCAGCCCGATTTCCTTGCCTCACACGGTGGCGAAACGTGTCCAACAATCTTGGTGTTCCTTGAGTAAATCGTAGAGGTCTGATCCAACACTTCGATTGTGAAGAAATAGGGGCAAGCCAGTGTTGGCTGCCAATACTTGTAACTGTCGGATAAAATACTTGATCTGTACACCCTTGGGTGTAAATTGAAGCCGATCATAATCTAGGCCGATTTCTCCAATGGCCACTACTGATTGGGACATAATAGTCAATGAAGGTCTTTACTTCGTTCAGACCAGTATCAATGTATTGGTGGATTGTAGTAATGGGTGGCAATGCCGGCATGGACGAGTTGGTGTCGTTAAAAGATGAGTTGTTCAGTGATGGACAAAGTGTATCCAAGTCAATGTGCTGCAGTTGTTCTTGTTGTTGAGTCTTGGAAATGTTGGCCAAATTGCTTCTGACTGTCTGCAGGCTTTCTGCAATTGCCATGCCACGAAAGGCAACTGCCTCTACTTCATTATTGATGCTTCCAACTTCATCCAGACTGTTGAGGAAAGGTGACAACCCGTTCCTGGTCATGAGTAGTGTCATGACAGGTATCAGAATGGAGCAAACTAGAAAGAGCCATTGGAGTCTCCATGCTCTCAGGCCGGTCTCTACCCAAGCGACTAAAGTAGCGACTAAGCCATATTTCATAGTTTAGTCGATAGTTTAGTCTCTGGGGGTGGTGTCTACCCAAGCGACTAAACGTCGTACGGACTAAAGGCTTTAGTCAAAACGTTCGTTCACCGACTAACGGGAGGCTGGTTAGTCGGTGAGCGAGCGTAAGGACTAAAGCTTGTTTAAGAACTCTTTAAGAATGAATCAATCTTCAATCAGCCTCATTGCACAGCCTCAACAACAGAGGCATCTACTTGCCCAACAAGCCAAGCTGTAACTCAACCTTTAGTCACTGCGTTTAGTCAAGCCACTATACTCTTCTATTTGCACCTCTGTGGTGGGCACCTCTGTGGTAGGCCGTTATTATTATGTCGTCCTCATCGGATTCCGACTCTTCCAGGGAGGCCTTGGATATCGTCATGG